TAGAAACTGTGAACTTCTACGATGATATACATTTTCATAATTTCTTACTAATTTAACGAAACAGAGAAAACATACCTGGATATCTAATTGCTGAAAAAATGTTGAAGTTTTCATTTTCTCTATTCCATTAAATTATTAAGAAATTATGAAAATGTATATCATGTATATCAGTTTCTAGAAAATGTAGCGTAGCATAGTAAAAGTGGATAAGGAATGTAAGAAGAAACTGTAAATTTGCAAAATTATACAATTTTTATATGTATAACGAAGCATAGATACCTTTGTTATACATATAAAAATTGTATGATTTTGCAAATTTACAGTTTCTTCTTACATTCCTTATAAATTGATCAATTTTATGAGTCGAAGCACATTTACTATGATACGCTATATTTTCTAGAAACTGTGAACATTTATGACAATACGCATTTTTAAAATTCATAACAAATATGTTAGAAACATATCAGATAAAAACATAAACATTCTTTCACTATTTACATACCTTTATTGTACACATAGGAAAAGTAAAATTTTGCAAATTTAGATAGTTTCTTCTTACATTCATTATAAATTAATAAATTTTGTGAGTTTATATACATTTACTTCATTACACTACACTTGTTAGAAACTTGAAATGTTTATGAAGCTACACATCTTTATAATGAATTTTAAATGTGTTAGAAACATACGAGATCAAAGTTAAAAATTTTTTTAACATTCGCGTATCTTTATTGTACAAACGTAAAATGTATGATTTTGCACTTCTAGTGTTTTAATACTACAACTACTGTAACTTTTGTTGCAGATTATATATCATCAAACAAAAGTAATTCGAAGTTCGACGCAGGTAAAGCAGAGCAACTCCGAAGTTCGACATGGGTAATGCAGAGCTACTACGATGTTCGATGTGGGTAATGCAGGCTACTCCGATGATCAACGACAGCAGAGCCACTACGTAGTTCTGTATCAAGACAACGGTTGGTGAGTCGCATAATTTTCTGTTCCTCTGGTTTCTCTGGGATATTTATAAAACTTGATATCGATTAATTATTAGTGTACAAAGCAACAATTAGATATTGAATTATGATAATTATGAGGTAAAATTGTATGAATATGCAAAAAAGAGTAAAAAAAGTAAAAAATGTAAATATATCTGAGAATTAATTTCGGTTGTCGCCGAAGATACGTGACATCTATCATACAGCAAAATTAGATTTACCAGTATTAGAATATTAAATTCCATCATTTATGCTTTCATAGAAAACAATGTCAGTAACTGTCACTAAATAATGTCTCTAGCTCTCAGTAAATTACGAAAAAAAGCTCCCACAAAAAGACTCGATAAATCTAGACAAAAAATTAACCGATTTGATGGCTTGACCGAAGAAGAAATACAAAAGTATACCTTGCCGGATTACCTTGAAAATGATTTGGATATTGTGTTTGTTGGCATAAACCCCAGCTTGATGGCAGCATATCGGGGAAGGTATTATGCAGGCCCAGGGAACCATTTTTACAAACTTTTGCATGAATCGGGTTTAACACCTTATTATTTAAGTTACGATGAAGATTACAAGCTTCTCCGATATGGTATAGGCTTAACAAACATAGTTTCGCGACCTACGAAGTCCTCTGCTGATCTGAAGCACACTGAAATCAAAGAGGGTTGCAAGATTGTAGAGGAGAAACTAAAAATCTATAAACCCAAGATTGCTGTTTTCAATGGCAAATGTATCTACGAAGTTTTCGCTAGTAAAACGGTTAATTTCAATTTTGGACTGCAACCAGAGTCTATCGAGAACATTGCATTTTGGGTCACTCCGTCGAGTAGTGCTCGCTGTGCAAACTTTCCTAGAATGACAGACAAGTTGCACTTCTATACTGCCTTGAAAAAATATTTGCGATTTCTAAAAGGAGAAATTAAGGAAGTCGATACTAAAGAATTTCTGTTTGAAGGAAAATGCAAACAGTTCATTCCTCGAACTTCGAAGATGTGGAGACGAAAAGATGTGTCTGTATTCTTGCACGGAGGAAAAATTGCTAACAAGCGCACTGTATGTCTGGACACATCCGATGAAAGCATAGCGATAACTTATAGTACGGAATTTATTGTAGAGCAAAAAGAGGGTAACAAACAAAATGAAGTGAAAAATGAGAGCGATAGACAGAAAACTGAATCATTACCAAATTCAAAACTGTATGATTCACGAACAAGCATAAAAGTGTGTCTTGAAAATAATCTATCTAGAGAAAAAGAAGATTCTTTACAAAAAGAACATTCAGAGCTTGTAAATGGTACAAAGAATGATACTGATTCATTTGAAAATAGTAATTTAGAAAAAATTGTAGAATCCAAAGCAGCAATGGCTAAAAAAACTATAACCAATAATAGAAAAAAGAAAAATATTAAAAGAATTTCACAGAAACCAATCAGAATCAAGCATAATGTAGAAGATAATCCTGATTCAGTCTTTGTTAGTTTAATTAAACGGAGACTGGAGACAAAAGCGAAAAATAATTCCAAAGATAAACAGGAAGACTGATCTGAAGTCATTGTTAGAATAGTTCGATTCAGAAAACAATTAGGATTTAGATTTAAGTAAACGATTCTTAAGAAAATTTGGTATTATTTTAATATAATTATCTTTTTTTTTACATGAATGTGAAGATGCATAATAAAGTATTTTTATAGTATACATCAAATTCAAAGTAATTAATTCCTGTAACTTTTATTAATAACTGTGTAACTGTGTATAACTGTGAATATAAAATTATTCATAGAATACGTACTTTATTCCCCCAACATACATTAAGTAAAAATTATAAAAATATACAAATATTTAATAATAAAAAATCTCAACTGTATAACTCAACATAATAACAATTGTAGCGTAATTAATGGTTTACCATATTACAATTTCGATTTAGCTATTTCCATGAGGGACTTCAATTTTTGGGTAACCATAATATTTCCATTAATTTTCAATTTTCCTTTCATAAATGCCATTTGTGGATTTAGTTTACCAGTCGCCTATAAATAGTACAATTAATGTCAAGTATAAGTACGTTTAAAAGAAAAGTAGTAATGAGAAGTGTATTGATATCAATTTACCATTTGCACCATGTCTTCATCCTCAACTGACAATATTGCATCAATTTTATCTGATTTTGGTTCTCCTCTGTGCACCTCGGGCTTTTTCAAGTCCAGAGCTTTAAAAAATGAAATGTAATAGTTTTTTAGTGTAGTAGTTAGTAGTAGTAATTATTTATTATAGTGTTAGTCTGGTTTGACTATCTACACTAAGCCGAAATGTATTGAAGGTAAAACAAAACCAATTTAACTCTTTGTATTATGAGGGTAATGCAACTCTGAAATTTTGGAGAAACCAATTTCTTTTTCTCTTTTAAATGATATCTTGAGATCTTAAAAATAAGCTATAAAGATTTTATAGTAGAGGAAAGTATTTAAAAGCCTATTATCTACACTGACTCAGTAATGACTTTTCTGCCATTATATAAACTGTCTGTAACATCTGCCAAACAACCATTTCACAGATTTCTTATTCCTTTCATTATACTTCCTCAAAGAATGATAAAAATTAAAATCTTTTTCCAACCACTTATTCCTTATAAAAAAAAATAATTAAAAAAAAGAAATTTTTTAACGTAAAATTGTTGAGAACTCTGCCTAAGAGAATTCAACAATATCCTTATCTTGACTTTACTAAGCATATACAGTAAAATCAACAATTGAAATCCCATAATTACAACATTATAATTAAAGCTACTCACTCCACGTCGAGTGTGGTTTTCCTTTTAACGTTATGTTGTAACGGAAGATTGCGTTGACCTTCTTCACCTCTTCTGGATTCGCTTTCACATAATCTTCGATCATAGCGAACACTGCATCACTTTGGAGGCTTTCGCTGCCTGAGCAAGGATTCAGCATTGGTTGTTTAGGTTTCACATCCTTCAAGTCGACGTAAGCACCTGAGAATGAAAAGTTTACATTGTATTCACACTAGTGCAATGTACACTTTTAAAATACGTTTCAAAATATTAGGATGAGTTGTTATTTAAACTGCAATGCGAATTCTGATCTCTCAATTTCCCAAATTGACTATTTCACTACTCTAAAATAGCAAAGAAGAAATCTCCACATCATAAACACAGTGTGTTAGAATTCTGTTACCAGATTCCTTACCAGTTGGTTTATTTAGAATATATGCGGTTTATAAATTTTTATAAATCTACCTGTGATGATTGGTACATTGTTGTCCACGGTGTAAGTTTGAAAATGTATTCTGTTTCCATTTTGCCACATATCGGTTCGCAAGGTTTGACCTGGAAGTACTGGGTTTGCAAAACGAACCTAAAACAGTTGTAAGATAAATTGATTTTCATTAAATATTCTTACTTACTCTGATCTGTCATAATTATATTTAATCTTGAATGACTCAAAAAGTGTTAAATAAAGTCAATTTATATTTTAGGTTATAGTATATTGTAGTTTTCTATTGATTTTAAGATAATAATACTGTAAATATAATAAATATACACAAACGTATATTTGAGAGTATTTTCTAATAATAATACATATCCAATATAAACAATGTTTTTGCCAATTTTCATAAAAATATGTGAATCTACACAGAAAATAAAAAATATTCTACTAATATGCTAGAATTGTACCACGATATCCAACTCATGTCACCTTAAGTAAAAGTTGAACCACTCAATGCAATCGCAGTGATGCTACTGAAGTGTGACAAGTCAAATAAACATTTACGATGCATCGCATACAGTTTATACGTGCATAATTCTTTAATAATAAGGTGAACATTGTAACGTACCTTGATGGCTTTAAATAGCCCTGGATCGCCATTAGCATAGGTTTGCATAACATGACGGACAGAAAATCCGAGAGTACATAATCCATGTAAAATAGGTCTTTTAAAGCCACTCATCACAGCCATGTTTTGATCAATATGCAATGGATTCGCGTCTCCGCTTAATCTGTACAACGCTGCCTGTAAATTAAACAAAGTTTTAATTTAAAAAATCAACAGAAATGGGGATACATCAATCATTCATTTATCAAATAATTTGCATTTCTGCATATTAAATGAATATATTGCATAGGGTTTTGATAGTCTAATAGACCCTCGGGACTTAATCTCTTCACAATTTGAAACAACAATCATTCATTTTTCAAATAATTGATACTTCTGCATTATATGAAGATATTGAATAGAGTTTTAATAGTGTAATAAGTCTTCAGAGTCTAATCACTTCACAATTTATTAACAAACAAACCAATAAACATAGAGTTTTGATTGTTTCACCTAGAACATTCAAAGTTAATCATTATTTACCTGATCGTAACTAGTTTGCTGAGTAACTGATGCATCACATTTTCGTTTTGGTGGTTCGATGGTTGGCACGATATTCGAGGATGTTCGTTTGCCTTGAAAACCACCAGCTCCTATCAAGAACACCGACATTTGTCCAGTAGACAACTTGTCTCCAGACGCAGTGTCAAATGTTTCATCTGAAATAATGAATATAATTTCAGCTTCACATTTCGCTACAAAAACAGTGTCTTACACATAAAAATGACTTCATTCGCATACGTTGTATTATTATTATAGCACCCTTTCCTTTGTCTAGCAAATCCAAAACTTTAAAGTGTGTTTCCACCGTGGCTGCTGTTGGCACTGGCTTATAAACTTCTATATATTGCTCTCCATGCAACGACTAAATTCATGAAATCCATAAAAACATGATTTAAGTTAAAAACATTAATTTAGTGGCCAAACCACTTTTTTCTCAAGGTCATTGTTTAAAGAGATTTCAAGTTCATTGCCGTTTTTTTAAATGGTATGAGATATTTTCATTATTGCAATCTTATAGCTGATGACGTATTTGAATTTTTCTGTTCATCAACCACAAGATTACAATAATGAAAATACCACATTCCATTTAAAAAAACGTCAACGACCTTAAAATCTCTTTAAACAATGACCTTGAGAAAAAAATGATTTGACCATTACATGTGACCCTTGGAATAGTGTAACTTTGTCCTATAGATTTTTTTCGCAAAATAAAAAATAACAGAGATATTTGGGTGTTCCCATTTAAAAGCTCCACCCTGTATAAAAGATAAATTACCCTCGTTGGATCTAGTTGGAGACCAGGTATAGCATCTTCGATGATGGAAGTACTCATAAGTTGTATCGGACCATGCAAGACAAAAAATGTAGGTATCACGGAGAAGTCTTCATGATTCTCGTACAGGTAACGCATATCGGATGGTTCTTGGACTGTAGCGCCAACTAAAGTAAAAATTAAGCTTGCAATAATATTGTGTATTGTTAGAATGCTTCATTATGATTAGAATGCACATCTTTATGCAAAAAGAAACGTTTGCAAAGGTATCTACAAAAATTGAACCTAAATAGGAATTACTTTCCTCTGCAAATATCATAATATGAACTTTACTTTCAATATTTGTTTACGTTATTACATATATTGTGTGCATTTTGTATTTTCTTGCATATTCAAATTCCCGATAAATGCATACAAATCTAATTATAATAATTAAACCATACCTCCTAATGCGTATAATATAGCATCTCGAGAATTATAGGTAGAGTTGTACACGCTATTAGCCTGCGAAATGAAAATATATAGTAAAAAATGAAAATACTTGATCTAAGTTGTAAAGCAGTGTCTTAATTACCTTTTCAGAATTTCCAGATTTCATTTTATCGATGGCCATCATAAACTCTCCTGTTACTTCCTGCAAAGACATAAAATGCAAATGGAAAGTTATTAGACGACCTTTCATCCCACGATGAATATCAACCATTCAATACATTACTGATTATATTTACGACAATTCAAGTAATATCATTTTTAAATTATGTACATATATACATCCTCTTTGGATTGATAATTATATACAAGTATCAGTCTTCCTGAAGTAAGCCCAACGTTCATATTTAGAAAAGGAATGTGCAATTATTACACACTGTTTTTAATTAAACAAGAATTAAATATTAGAATGAACATTGAATCTGCTTCAAGAGGACTGATATTTATAAATAATTGTCAGTTCAAGAAGGATGTACATATGTACATAATTTTATATTTACTATATATCTAAACGCATTTAAAATGTAAATTAAACTAAATAATGAAATAACATAGAGTAATCGTTAAAATATAAAACGTTTATGTACCTCGATGGTATCAAAGTGTTTAGCGGAAGACATGTCAGTGATAGCTGACCATTTTTGTTCAACATCCTCAGGAGTTACATTGCTCGTCAAGTCTTGTCTTAAAGTGACTCCTGATGCACGAACCAAATGACCTAAAATATCATTCATCGTTAAATAAAATACAAAGTTATATCTTCATAAGTTTGGCTATAATGAAATTGTTCATTTATAGTATTTTTAAATTTACATAAACTATATGCACTTGTTCGACTATAATTATATACTCACATTTCCCAGCCCAACCTAATGCAGACTCGATGATAGAACCATTTTCTGTACATTTTTCGTGGCACAGCCAAACAACCACCGGGGCTATCAATTCAGGTTTTAAATTTTCTAAAAGATCTACAGGGAAAAAACAATAAAATTAGAATATAGACCAAATAGAACATAATTAACGTATACAAAATATTGTCTCAACCTGGTGGCATGATGTCTTCTGTCAATCGAGACGCAGCTGTGGGTATTATCACATTCGTATGTATATTCCTCTTCCTGCCCTCAATAGCCAATGTGTTGGCCAGCCCAACTAGCCCCATTTTCGCTGCGCTGTAATTGGCCTGACCAAAGTTTCCGTACATTCCACTGTTGCTCGTGGTCATTATCACACGACCATAGTTCTGTTTAGAAAAGTAAGGCCACGCTGCTTGAGTAGTTTTGTAAGCACCTTTAAGGTGTACATCGAGGACTAAATCTGAAAAATAATATGTTTAGATATTTATTTAGATCATTATTACAATTAGAACTCTAATATTATACGTACCCCAATCTGTGTCTGTCATCTTAGCAAAAGATTTATCTCTCAAAATTCCAGCATTATTAACAATCACATCTATTCGCCCAAACGAATCGATGGCAGTCTTAACAATCTTTGCACCGTCCAAAACGGAATCATAATTGGCAACTGCTTTTCCACCTAAACAAAAATTTCAACTTGCAAAACAGTGTCCCCTTGTTTTCAAATTAACATTGTTACATATAATATAAATGACTCTTATTCGCAATATATTTTTCCTTAGTGTAATAAGAACAGAAAATATTCTCTTGTTGTCAAGAATTTTTATCAACGGCAGGTTAAACATTGAATATAGTTTGGAACATAGTCAAATGCAATCGTCAGAAGATGCATCGAAATATGCATATTTAAATTAGATAAAAAAGTACGTAAATGTATAAATGGAAATACTATGACAATAAAAATTGCAAGTCATGTTTACTTAAAACATAGTTGGAATTCAATTGACTTATACTATCTGACCATTTCTTGTAATTTCTGCAACAACTGTGTCCGCAACCTTGGTGCTGTTTCCATCGCCGTGTCTCCCTCCGCCCAAGTCGTTTACCACAACACTGGCACCCCTAGAAGCGAAGAGCAAGGCGTATGCACGACCCAAACCTGGGAAAAGATTCGAGAGCAATGAACCACCTGCGACAACAGTAAACACATGTATTCATGATTACCTGCTCCTGCTCCTGTTACTATAACTACTCTGCCGTCAAAACGTAACTGCTCTATATCTCTCATTTTGCATAGAGCTCCAACTACTCTGTCTCAAACAAAAAGTGAAAGTCCTATGAGGCTGTAGTTCTTATCAGTTTTTATATGCTATCGTGCAATAAGTGGATGAGATAGCAAAATTAAATGAGGTTTAAAGTCCACGGAAGTTTTAATTTAAATAACAGCATAAACTACAACGAAGCCAAACGGAGCACTGTCGATACACTGTTATAGTTGATTATAGTCGTATGGTGTTATAGTTGAGCAAACTTGAGGCTCTCTTCTCGCACAAGTACAACCAAGTGCACCAAATAACAATAATTGGGAACTGTTAACACATGCAGCGAGTGGCACACAGACACAGGTTACCACATGTCACTCTCTATGTGACAAAACAGTAACCAGCAGTAACGTAACCTAGTCAGGTAAAAATGGATGTTCGCGTGGCGTCCTCGTGGATAATTTTTGAATTACTGGAGGAAAGGAAAAGGTGTTTTGAATGACTTAAATATCGTCATTAGAGAGATTAAAAGCACGATAGGAAAGAATCTGTTGCCGTTAAATTTTTAGGTATTATATATTATACAGGGTGTCTCAAAAATGTTGTAACACCTTGAAAGGGGTGGTTCGAGAGATGATTTGAAACAACTTCTTCCTTAGCGAAAATGTTGTCCGAGGTTTCGTTAAGGAGATATTAAACGAAAACTCCGACCAATCAGAGCGCGCGTATGCCGGTTGAGCGTAGGCTACGCTATAGGCGGCCGCGCTGATACGCTACCGCGGGCGCTCCATCGGGATACTCGCGCTCTGATTGGTCAGTGTTTTCCGTTAATATCTCCTCAACGAAGCCTCGGACAACATTTTCGCTAAGGAAAAAGTTGTTTCAAATCACCTCCCGAACCACCCCTTTCAATGTGTTACAACATTTTTGGGACACCCTGTATGTTACATGTTTATTCTCTGAATATTAGTACGATAGTAAAAGGTGATAACTTGTGCACAATAACACGTCATTGAAATAAAGCAATGATAGGAATAGTTTAATGTTTTTTGACTCTATAATAAAGAGTCTATAGTCAAAGATAGACACTTAAAATAGCTGAGTGAAAATAATGTAATGCATACGAATCTACAATTGCATATTCATAAAAATATACTTCTGTATCATAAGAGATTGCGATAAGAGAGTATGAGTGTATCTAAAAGAGCTATCGCTCACAGAGCGGCTTAGTGAGCGTGTTTTATAGCACTGAAGGCTATATCAAAATATACATATACAGAATATAAGTGGATTTATCCTAATTAACACACATATTATTTAACCAGAAAGCAAAACTAATCAGCAATTCAAAAAGACAAACGAAGCAGAAGACGGTAATAGAAATCTTCTTCTGGATCGATAAAGAAGTTCCCGTTCATAAATAACCCAGTGCTGAGTCGATAAAGAAGTAATCGCTTACCAGGTGATGGTCACATTAATCAAAAATATCTCAAAAACTATTTGTTTCTCGAAAAAATATATTTGACAACAATTTCATATCTTATCGAGATGTGCAACTTTTGTTTAAAGTATTTCTTCATAGGATCACTTTCTTTTTAGTCAAACCATTTTTCTTCTTTTCTTTAGACATTTTTTTCTCGTAAACTATAGAAGTTGCTCCTACATGTTACTTAACAAAATATGCTTCATTTTGATCGAGGAAGTAAAAAATCATTTTTATAGACAAGTTTAGATTTTCCAGGGTTGTCGTCAAAATCGCAAGGAGCAAACTGAGTTTGCCAAACTCCCTTATGCATTCATAAAGTAATCTTTCTTTTATTTTTAAAAAATTGAGATTTCACTTTAGAAGAAAACTTTCTGTATGTCTTTCGTAGGATCCAATGAGATCTACGATGAAAAAAGTTCCGAACCAAAATGTTCATTATTAAGAGAGCTTCGTATTTTTTAAGATTAGGCAACTTTTATATTTTGGAATAAATAATGCTATCGAAATAATATTGGGATAAGAAATAACCCATTGAAAAAATATTTTAAACAAAAGTTGTACATCTCGATGAGATACGAAATTGTTGCCAAATATATAATTAATTATATATATATAAATTACATTGCCTACCACGAAATGTAACAAAATATTTATAAATGAATATAAATTATTTTCATGTAATTGGGAATTGAAACAAATAAATTAATTAAAAATAAAAGGAATAAAACGGAATAATAAATATATGCAATGACTAAAGATAGAACAATTAAATTTCTTTAAATTACTTCTTTATTAGAGACTATCGAAAAGAAGATTATTTAATTTCTTAATTTAAAATTTAATCCTCCTTAAGATTCATTTAAAACATTTTATACGATTTGTTAAAATAACAAATGTATATACAAAAAATCAAAAACCAAAAAATGAACAATCATAATTATTTATGGACTATTTTGCTGAAAATTGAATCAAATAGAAAATAGAAAACTAGAAAAATAGAAGAAGATTTCATTGAAATTCGTTGCAATATACCCTCAAACAAATTTCTCTTTCTTAATACATAAAACATGACGTCAAGTTACAAAACTTACATTTCCTTATAAAATTCGAATTATTCCTTCTAAATATTACCTTCACAACTAACTAACACAAAAGGAACATCAAAGAATTGATTAATAAATCAATTTCACGCGTTCCTGGAACATATTATTGACTGAAGTAAACCAAGATGGCGGACAAATTAAGTACAATGCAGAGGCCATCAACAGCGACGCACAAGAAATTCGAAATGTCTCGCAGAGCGATGAGAAGTGAATCAGGGGGATTCTACGCTAATATTAACAATCGTCCGGCGACTCCTATTCAAAATATACTTTCAAGGCCGCCATCGACATCAGTTTTGTTTAATCCTATAAGAGCTGGCAGCTCGCGATTAACCACAACCTCGAGCAGTTCTGCTCATTTAAATACAGGACTCTCGATGGCTGGTGTAAATGTTACAGAAAGACCCATAACTCAGCATGGAGTCGCAGGTGTTAGACCTGGAACATGCAGAGGGTTATCGATGACGAGGTAAACTTCTAACTTCAGAATTACAAGCATAAGTTCTCCGTCCTGCCACAGTTTTCAATATTTCCATTTATAAGTTGAAACTTTTCTTCACAGACAGATCCAGGACAAAAGGTACTACATCAGTGTCATGCAATTGAAGATAAGGGAACTGAATCAAGAAATTTCTACTATTACGAGGGACATCGAAGATCAAAATAAAGAAAGAGCCACCTATCTCCATTATGATAAAAGAGCTAAGGATTTAGCCGTGGAATTAACAGCCTTGCAAGGACAATTAGCTGACTATAATATTGTTGTAGATAAAATGACATCCAATATTGGAAAGGATGTCATCGAACAGGAGACAGAAGAACTCGCATCCAAGAATGAACAAAGTTTATCTAAAATCGAAAACATGTTCGAAGAGAGGAAACAGCTGGAACAGCAGCTGAGTAAGACGGAGAAGCAATTAGAGAATGAGAAGAAGAGAACGGAGAGACTAGTGGAGAGCATGAATTCGAGTACGAGAGAGAAGTATGATAAATTATTAAAAGAAAGAGCCAGCTTGCAGGAGAAAGCGAATAAAATGCAACAGCAATTGGATGAGTTGTACAAAGAACAGGTTACTTTGGAAGAAGAGATAGCATTGTCTCCTTTGAAACAGGAAGCCGTCAAGCTGCATCTTAAAATTATAGAGACAGAGGAGAAAAGAGGGAAATTGCAGGAAGAAGAGAAACACAGAATTTCACCGGAAGAAGAAAAAGAAAAATTATTACAGAAAATTAAACAGCATAATATGGACATTGCAGCAGCAGAAGCACTACTTGTTGAGAAGAAGAAGCGCATTCAAGAAGTTGAACAGAAGCTTGAACAATTGGAAACCGATATAGAGGACACACAGTCTGAGAAACAAATTAAATATAAAGAACTTCGCAAGCGAGAAGAAATCATGGAACAATTCATGTCTTCTTTCGAGCAAAATAAACAGAACGAAATGAAAAAATTACACGGTTTGGAGGAAACAGTAGTTGAAAATTTAAAGAACATCTCGAACATGCTGGAAATTGATATAGATTTTGTAGGCGGTGATGAGATAACTATGTTAAACAGCATACCTTCTTATGATGAGTATCAACATGGCAAAGATCAAAGTTTGGAAGGATTGACAAAAGAAAATTTAAAGCTGCAGCAAATTCTGAGTAAAATGGAGATGCTGGAGCAGCGACTTAAAGTAGAATTCGCTGATTTTGATAAAAAAATGAGTAAAAATGAAAACAAAGTAATGGTTTTGGAGGATTTAGACAGTTTGAAAAATAAATTAGCAACAAAGGAAGAACAATTAACGATCAAATTGAAAGAGCTAAAAGAACAGAGTTTAAAGCATGAACAAGACCTAAAAGAAAATCAACTCGAATATAATAATATGAAAGAAAAGTTAGAACATAACAAGGTATACACTGAGATTAACGTATTGCAAAATACAGTAGAAAAGTTAGCGGAGGAACATGGAAAGATTAAAGGTCTTATCGCTGATCAAAGGAAGCGTGGTAATTATGGTCCAGTAAAAGAAAATGCTCTTGATTCGTTGATTAATTATAACACCATGTTAAAAGAAAATTTAAAAATTATTTATTAATCTATATCATCATATCGTTTCATTTGTTTTCACCATAGTATCATTGGATGTCGAAATCGATATTGGTAATTTATAAGTCGTCAATAATTCGTTCAAACTTTTTTCAAAAGTTTTGCTAGGTAATATTCCTTTCTTTTTCATTTCGTTCGCTAAGTTTACAGCCTGCTCATATTTACCCTCTTTATCTATACATAAAAATTATTCATCTTAAATTCTTATATTTACACACTTCGTAAATTTAAAGCTTGACTACTTACTATATATGAATAAAGTTAAATTACATATAGGTTCCAAGCGTTCTCCCAATATTTCTCCACCTACTTCTAAAAGTATCAACGACGTCCTTACAATCTCTGCGTCTTGCAAATACTTTAACTGTTCCAGTAAAAGATTCGGCCATATCCTCTCTTTCTAAAATATTAATAATTCATCAGTCACGTATATTAATAAACCTAACAGTAAATATAGATAATAATACAATACTTTGAGTAAAATTTCTAGTTCCTTCTTTTTATTGCACTGTGCTAATGCTATCGCAAAATTCACAATTGCCTTTCTTTTTCCATGCACTTGTACTATAAGAGTGTAAACTTCATCCAGTAATCGACTAAATTGTTGGGATGGGCTTTTCTTAAGTATACCTAATAATATTTCCTGCTTTGCAGGGGTTATATTGTAGTCCACAGTGCATTGTTTGAACACATTCACAGCAGATTCGATATCACCTTTTAACAAAGGGACGTAAACCAAATACCGGAGCACATTGCTATACAAGCAGTAACCTTTTTGAACGAGGAGATGAATCATTTCTTTGGTATGATTCGAATGGATACCTTTCGCTAGGAGGTTTAATAGTTGTACGCAGACACTAAGTGCATTATGTTTATGATTCACATTCGTACAATCTATCACATTGAAAGCTTCATCTACTTTATCCTTCTTCACTAGCAATATAGCGAAAGCCAAAATCTTGAAATTATCAATCTGAAACCGTGGGAACAGAGAATGAATTTCCTGTAACGTAGACATGGCTTCAGCAGTCATTTTATTTTTTGTATAAAAACTGAATAAAGCCGCTTTCATTCCAGGCGACCAATCGAAGTTGTTCATCTTCATTTCTGCTGCGATTTCCTGTACTTTGTTTATATTGTTCTCTTTACATACGATTTTAAATAGTTTTCGCAGCACACCTCTGGTATTCTTCTCTGTAGTTTTAAGCGTGTACAAATGCGTAATCAATTGGTCTTTATTCATGTTCTCCGGATGAACATAGGATCCGCTGTTATAATTATGTATCTTTCTGTCCCCGGTCACAGCAACCAACAGATGCGAAACAGAATATTTACAATACTCTGTTAAGTTTAGATTAAAAATTTTGTTTTCTATGTATCGTATATCATTCAAGGACATAACTACTCCATGTGATTTCATAGTATTCAAAAATTGTATAGTATCCTTCATATCGTCCAGTCCGAACTCGGGTCGATCCACGAATTTCTTTAAGAAAGTACCAGAGAAGCCACGACCATTGTATGATAAGTCGAATAAGACTTGTATGCAGCTATTGATATCCTTTGATGCATTATAATTCAAAATTAGGGAGTCTAACAAGTCCTGGCAGTCGACTTTCTTTTTAAAAGTGGAACACAGGTTTATGCTTTCCTGTAATCTCTGTTCGTCTAACAAAAACTTCACAAGTGGTGGTACTGTGTAAATGCATGCTATCCCATTGTTATGCATTTTTTTAACTGTAACAACAGGATCTTTGGTATTGATATATGGAAACACATGATTTATAAATGTCTTGGAGTCTATTATAATGTTTAAATTTATCATGTGTCTGATGATCAAATATATATCACTTTCCTCATCCCTTTGACCTAGGTTTGAAAGTAACAACCAGTAATAATAAGACTGAACAACCATGCCTTGCGACTTCATCTTGTCGAATATCATAAGGGCAAGTGTTAGATTGCTTTTAATTGAAGCAAATTCAACTGCCTTCCTCCAGACTCCTTCAATACGATGTTTTATTGCAAGATCACTCACAAGTTCCACCACGGCTTGATCCGAATTCAACGCAACCACTTCTTTTAAAAACCAAAATACCAATGATCTTCTTATAGTCTTACAAGTATCGTTTATAGAAATCTGAGTGATAATTTTGTAAGCATCTAAAAAATGTCCAATATGTACAAGTTGTATGATAACTGCAATAACATCTGTATCAGGGAACTGTAATGGTTGCATGAACTTCAAAACATCTGGTATATGAACTCCGTTTCCTGATACACTAAGAAACTTAACGAGCTTCATAAATTCCGATGTAGATATTGCTGTGGTAGATAGAATTTCAGTTAAAGCCTCAATATCGTTGGTTTTTGCAAAAGCATACATTAACTGAGCATAAGTTGTAGGCGAAGGTTTAATATTTACTTTTACCATGGAATCTATAACTTTTTTGGCTCCTGTTACATCTCCATTTACAGCATACACATGCACTAATGTGTTATAAGCTTCTTCTTCCAAAGGTAGGCCCGCTTTATGCATGTCCGATATAAGAGTTTCAACTGATGCAATGTCACCTGACTTCGATGATAACTTTAGTAAAAGACAATAAGTATCGTACTGTGCATCAACAACCATACTTTTTAAAAATTCACCTGGATCGATGATGTTATCATTATCAATATATGCGAGTAACAAAGCGTGATAGTGGTCTATAGTCAATTCCGATTTTCTTTTGTTTACAAGATTCCAAACACGGTCGGTTAATTCCTGCCGCAGCTTCAAAGGCACACTGTATAGCATATTTCCGCAGCATTTGATTAACGTTACGCTTAAACTCTTCGACAAGTTGATATCATCCTTTTCTAAATCATCGATTATATTTTTCAAATTGTCCAATCGTATGCTTCGCTTATTAAAATTCTGGTAGACTATCATGACTTTGTATTGGAAGCTCTGAGAGTTTTCTGCTCCATTAACATAATTGCAATTTACTCTAAAATCTGCGTTAAAATTATTTGAGTGCAGTCTTGTCATACAGCGACAAGACAGAATCATATAGTTTCTAATTGATAGGTTATGAATCGTCAATGTTAACAAATTTCCATAACCGATGGTGTACATTCTCGTTACTTTAACGAGGTTTTTGCATTTTCTTATTAAAATCATTTTGTTGATATTTAATTATCCATACATACACATACCCTGGCATTATAGTTATGGCATGACTGTATCCAAGTGTATCATGTAAAAATGATCAGCTGTCACAGTAAGCCTAGTTGACTTCAGCGACAGTTGCAGAAAAAATAGGAAGCTCTCAGACAAGGATAGATAGATCCTTGTCTTTCCAATGATGCTGCGACAGAGAGGAAAACGCAACAATCGGAGGAGAGACAAGAACAAGGTGATAGGCTACAACATGATTTTTTCATGTAGCTGATCAAGTTGTTTGAAGCGAAAAAGCAATATTTTCTAATCGATCTTTTTCTAAAATATTCTTGGTACTACTCCGCATGCAATGCCAGACATTATTTTTAAAAGTATATGTACAAAAATTTCTTCTATGAAAACGTCCCTTTATCTATACAGGGTGTCGCACAAATATTGTAACACCTTGAAAGAGGTGGTTCAGCAGGTGATTTGAAACAACTTTTTCCTTAGCGAAAATGTTATCCGAGGCTTCGTTGAGGAGATACTAACGGAAAACACTGACCAATCAGCCGGCACTCCATTGGCATGCTCGCGCTCCGATTGGTCGGGGAGCGCGGCCACCTAGCGCGTAGCCTACACTACCGCGAGCGCTCCACCGGCATACTTACGTTCTGATTGGTTAGGAAGCGCGGCCGTTTCGCGCTCTGATTGGTCACGGTTTTCCGTTAATATCTTTTTAACGAAGCCTCTGACAACATTTTTGCTAAGGAAAAAGTTCTTTTAAATCACCTTCCCTTCCTCTTTTGAACATTTTCCAAAGAAGGAAACGAGACAAACACATCGGCAAACTTCAGATTTATTCGAGCCTAGGCTTTTGCCCATCTCTAGTTTCAAATCACCTCCCGAACCACCCCTTTCAAGGTGTTACAACATTTTTGAGACACCCTATATACACACCTAGTGAATCGGTTTGTCAACTCTTTAGAATCAATCTTACTAGATTCTAGGGAAAATACCCTAGATTGTCCCTACATCTGTAATTCGTTTAGAGGTCCAACTTGAATGAACAGAGTTTCACCTTCAATGAAACTACTCTGTGGTCCACAGTAGTTGAGTTGGTCGATAGGTTGAATTGTTGACGTATTTTGGTGACAGTTTGCGACTGTGCCAGACATTTAGAGCCACATCAAGGCAACTATAAATCCGTAAGTTATTTAAGTATTTATTCTACATGTTTAATATTGTTGAAATGTAACTACTATATGAGGTATCTTTTAAAATATCATCACTTATTTCCAGATATGGTTACGATGGGTGAACCTCTCACTTTAGCAAATGGTAACTATTGCACGTACACGATTATTTAAACAAGTTATACACAATTATTATGTTTCTTGTTAAAGATTTGTTACGATTCGTTCGAAATCTAAGATATTTAGTAGTTATTTATAGTAATGAATTTATTAATTTCACTGTACTAAATGATTAATAAACATGAAATTCCAATAAGACAAAATCAATAAAATACAATGAATTTATTTTTATTTACAGATGTTAAGAGGTCCATCGAATTACTAGACAAATTGCAGAAAGGTAATACATTAAATTGTTCTTGTTCCCAATACATTAATCGCATTAGTTTAGCTTCATTTTATGAAAATTCATACTTTGAATCATAGATTAATTATGTATATTTACTTAATTTTATGAAATTCTGAAATCATACGTTGTTACATGAAGGAGCAACAATTACGTCGTTGATGCTTCATTACACACACGAACATCTTTCTATTCTATCTTTCTATTCTAGGAGGTGAAGTACCTGCAACAAAATTAGCTGCCTTACAGAAAGTTTTACAGAGTGATTTTCTTAGCGCTGTACGTGAAGTGTATGAACATGTATACGAGACAGTAGACATTCAGGTATTATACTTGCACATGTCTAACATAGTTTATGTAACATAGTACTAGTAGTATTTAACTAGTATTAATAAATTTCAGGGCTCGCAAGATGTCCGCGCATCAGCCACAGCAAAAGCAACAGTAGCTGCTTTCGCAGCCAGTGAGGGCCATGCACATCCACGAGTGGTAGAACTGCCAAAGACAGAGGAAGGTCTTGGCTTCAATGTAATGGGAGGCAAGGAGCAAAACTCACCCATTTACATTTCAAGAATTATTCCTGGAGGTGTTGCTGATCGACATGGTGGTCTGAAGCGAGGAGATCAACTTCTTTCAGTGAACGGAGTGGTTAGTCTTTTGAAATTTTTCACATTTTTAGAAGACAAATTATAAAAAACAAATTTCTAGAAGAAAACACATTCTTATAATGCACTCTCTTAATGCATATATCTTTTTAGTGTGTTGAAGGAGAAAATCACGAAAAAGCAGTAGAATTATTAAAGCAAGCACAAAATTCTGTGAAACTGGTCGTGCGGTACACTCCACGTGTTTTAGAAGAAATGGAACTGCGATTCGATAAACAGAGAGCAGCGCGTAGTAGGCGTCAGCATATGCAATAAATATAAATATCTAGTACTTATTATTTTCTTTTTACTTAATAAATACATTACGATCACCTTCATTTCTTCTTCGTTGTCCATAAACTATGGATGTTTCATCTATTACTTAAGTTTAATAAAAT